GATCACATGGAGGGTTAGCAACAGGGGAGTGGGGAGGGGGAGTACAGAGAATAAGTAGCATAAATGGTAGGTAGAAAATAGGGAGAAGACAAGAATAGTATGGGAAATGTAGAAGCTAAAGAACTTGTGACACATGGACATGACCTAAAGGGAGGGAATGTGGGTGGGAAAGGGTGTTCAGTGTGGAGGGGGATGAAGGGGGGGAAATGGGACAACTGTAATAGCACAATCAATAAAATATATTTAAAAAACACTAAGTTTATAGATGGTATCTGCATAAACATCCTATTGAGTATTAGTTTGGAAATCAATAATGTCTTCCTCATTAGTCTATGATCCCAGTAGAAACAGAATTATTAAGTACTTACCCATCTTGGTCCCAGTCACATATGTGTCCCAGTTTATATTCTGTAAGGGTAATATTAATAATTTTGCAATAAAACATTTATGTATTTTAGTTATATATAGGTATTCACAAGTATTAGGTGATCTTAACAAATTCCATGGTTCATAGGTTCCTGATATTCTCCTTTTGGGGCTTTAATGACATCCTACTTGTGAAAAGTGTTAACAAATAAAGGGTAAAATGGTTTTGATAAAAGTAGGCACTCTGGTATTCAATATTACGTGCTCCATGACCCATAGGAAAAGACTATGGAGTTTACTCAATCCATATGAATATTTAAAGAAATTACCCAAGTTTTAAATTAAAAATTTTAGCTACGTTATAGATACATAGGCTCTCCTAGCAACTCAGTAACTGTAAGTGGTATCAGCCAGGGATTCTCATTGCAAGAAACAGAGACTGACATGGTTAATTGTACAGAGAAAGGTATTTATTAAATGGTTATTAATGAATTCCCAGATTTGTTGCAAGGACCAGAAAACAGCCTTGATAGTAAGCTTCCTGGAACAGTGTCCAAATCTGTGCCACAGAATTGGTCAGATAAAGAAACCACTAACACTGCCACCAACATAAACAGAGTTTGAGTGGAGGTGATTTACTTTTTAGGAATGTGACTTTGAGACCTGTTTCAGGGTGTGCAGTAAGGAAATGGAAGAGAAAGAAAATGAGCTTTGTGTCTTTTCTGATGTCAGAGTCTTGGTTTCAGCACCTGAATCAGTCTGGCATCTTGGCAAAGCCAAAGTCACTGTCTTTATTTCTGAAGGATGGAATTATGTGGAGAATATGTCTCAACTTCCTCCTTTTTAAAGCAGGAAATTTTCCAACTATTTTCTTGAAAGGATGCTCAAAGACCTTAGGCAGCCACAAATATGGTAAAAAAAAATCTACTAAAGTGGGTTTTTTTTATGTCCTGAGTTGACAGAACATACCTTAATCCTACCCTGGTAACTTTTGGCAATCCCAAAAGTAGAAAACACTCCAACCCTTAATCTCTAGGAGCCACTGAACTCAGAAGAAAAAGGTAATGGGATATCTCAAGGAATACTTCAGGATTCATGGATCATCCTTTCCTGTACTATCTTGATACAAGCAGCCAGTCTTCTGACAAAAGTGTATAATAAACAATTGAGTATAATAATTAAAAGAATAGGAGCTTCACACACACACACAATGATACTGTTTTGAGGGCAAAGAAAGAATAAGTGTGAAATAAGAGTATCCTTATAATTTATTACCTTAACCAGATACTGAATATTGTATACTTATTATCTATCTTGTCTTTTCTAGATTTTACTACATTTATTAAGAACCACTAGTCTAGGAATTGTTAGGTAAAGGTAGACAATGTCCTGCTTATCTACTATGATCATGTTGTACAGCATTATGGAGCCAACTATTATTCATTCAGGTCATACCCTATGTGCCCACACCAATGGCTCATTAGAAAAGGATTCTCATCAGAAAGCAATTAAGGAGTTCAGGAACTGTTTCTTAATAATAATTCTGGGAACAGTTTATAGAATTTGCAAAGCCACGGCTGTCAAGTAACTGCATGTTTGCCTAATTCCAAAGGGAGTTAATTTGCTTTTCAATAAGTTTTTATTTTTGCATGGCAAATACTATATATTGTCATAAATAATATTTCAGGTAGAAATAACCACAGTTCTGGTCAAGATGGAGGCATAGGTAGATACACTGTGCTTCCTCACACAACCAAAAGAAGGGCAGCAACAAATTTAAAAACAAAAAATAACCAGAAATGCCAGAAAATCAGAGTATATGGAAGTCTGACAACCAAGAAGTTAAAGAAGAAACATTCATCCTGACCTGTAGGAAGAGCGGAGATGGGTAGGTGGGTGCAGAGGACTTATGGCAAAATGATGGCTGGAGGCAGCAGCTGGTGGACCAAGTGGTCCCACATTTGTGTGCAGCTAAACCAGGAGGAACAACTGGGGAGCGAGAGAGATGGAGCAACCCAGGGTTCCAGCGTGGGGAAATAAAACCCAAAACATCTTACTGAAAAATCCTGTGGGTGTTGAGCCTGCTAGAGAAACTCCCAGCCTCACAGGAGAGTTCGTTGGAGAGACCCAAAGGGTCCTAGAATGTACACAAACCTACCCACATGGGATCAGCACCAGAAGGGCCCAATTTGCTTGTGGGTAACAGGAGAAGTGAGTGAAAACAAGCAGAGCTGAGCAGGCAGCATTGTTCTCTCTCAGACCCCTCCCCCACATACAGTGCCACAACGCAGCAATGTGGGTTGCTGTGCCCTATCAAACACCTAAGGCTCAGCCCCTTACTTATGTAACAGGTGTGCCAAGACAAAAAGATGGCCCAAATGAAAAAAGCTCCAGAAAAAATACAACTAAGTGATGAAGAGATAGGCAGCCTGTCAGATGCACAGTTCAAAACACTGGTAATCAGGATGCTCACACAACTGGTTGGGTATGGTCGCAAAGTAGAGGAAAGAGTGAAAGCTATGAAAAGTGAAATAAAGGAAAATGTACAGGGAATCAGCAGTGACAGGAAGGAAGAATTCAAACATTCAATTCAACAATTTGGAACAGAAGGAAGAAATGAACTTTCAACCAGGAAAGAATGAAGAAACAAGAATTCAAAAAAAAAAAAAGTCAGGAGACGCTTGGGAACCTTCAGGACAACTTTAAACAGTCCAACATCTGAATCCTAGGAGTGCCAGAAGGAAAGGAAGATGAGCAAGAAATTGACAACTTATTTGAAAACATAATGAAGGAGAACTTCCCTAATCTGGCAAAGGAAATACATTTCCAGGAAGTCCAGGGATCCCAGAGAGTCCCAAAGAAGTTGGGCCCCAAGAAGCACACACCAAAGCACATCATAATTACATTACCCAAGATTAAAGATAAGGAGAGAATCTTAAAGGCAACAAAAGAAAAGGAAACCGTTATCCACAAAGGAGTTCCCATAAGACTGTCCACTGATTTCTCAAAAGAAACCTTACAGGCAAGAAGAAAGCTGGAAAGAAGTATGTGAAGTCATGAAAGGCAAGGAAGTACATCCAAGATTGCTCTATCCAGCAAAGCTGTCATTTAGAATGGAAGAGCAGATAAAGTGCTTCCCAGATAAGGTCCAGTGTAAGGAGTTCATCATCATCAAGCCCTTATTATATGAAATGTTAAAGGGACTTATCTAAGAAAAAGAAGATCAAAATATGAACAGTAAAATGACAATAAACTCACAAGTATCAACAACCAAGCAAACAACTAGAACAAGAACAGAATCATAGAAATGGAGATCACATGGGGGGTTTTGAGTGAGGAAGGGGGAAAGTGGAGGAAAAGGTACAGGGAAAAAGAAGCATAAACGTTAGGTACAAAATAGACAGGGGGAGGTTAAGAATAATATAGGAAATGTAGAAGCTAAAGAACGACTCATAAATACGAACTAAGAGCATGGAATGTGGGTGCGATGGGGTGCAGGGTGGAGGGGAATAAAGGAGGGTGGGAATGGGACAATTGTAATAGCATAATCAATAAAATGTATTTTAAAAATAGAAAAAATTGTAAAAGGGAAATATTTCAGGTAATTTTATTTCTGATTAGTTTCTAGGCTTATGCTTCGTGTGCCTGGTATTTTGAGCTTGAAGTCATTGTCCGATTAAACACCTTGTAAATTCAGCATTTGCTTTGAGTAGAGTAGTTGTAAGGAAATAATGTGGCACAGAGGAGCTTGAGTTGTTACTGGAGATGTTGTTTGTGGCTTTAAAGCCTTTGCTGTATACTTGATTTGATCTGTATATGTTTTAGGGCATGGCATACTTTCTATTGATTAAAATACTGTCAAGGTAACAGTGAGATAAATACCAAAGAAAGTTATAATATTTTCTTCTATAATAGAACTTTCCTTGCCCTCATGATACAGCATAGAACGAAGAATATAACTTCCTTGAACAATGTTTTCAGCTTTTGAATACAATTTTAAATTTGCTCCTGTTGCTCAGACCTTTTTTTCCTCCCCTTCATACAGTGACACATGAATATATTTGTGGCAATAGAAAAAGTTTGTTGCTTATATTGCAAGATTTTTTCTGTGGGACTGGAGTGATTTTTTCCCCTTAGCAATTAAAAAGGCCTTTATCAAACATGCTAAAGTGATTCTCATTATGGAAAATTATGTTTTTTAATTCTTTGCTAACATATACAGTATGAGGAACATAAAAATTAGCTATTGAGTATGAATAGCTTGTACTGGTTGCTGTGCCTCTACTGTAGACATATAAGTAATGACTGCAACCCCAGGGTGTCATGCAGCACTGTAGCAGAAGTTCTGTTGGAAAACCTCAGTTAGCACCAAAAAAAAAGGAAAAGAAAGACAGGTATCTACTTGTTTTCAGTTCCAAACAAAGGCTTATGTTCTAGTGCCTTTACATTTGAAAAACCTACAAATCAGTAGGTTATTAGGCTCATGATTCCATTAAAAACGCTAATTTTGTGAAGCCATACTATGGTGTTGTTATGGTATGTTCCTACATTTCCTGTGACATACTTTAATTCATATGTCTGCCTGAGCAGCACAACTTGACACCTTATATGCCTTTTATTTCCTTGAATCACAGGAGCTTCAGTTTCAACGACTCACCCGAGAACTGGAAGTGGAAAGGCAGATTGTTGCCAGTCAGCTAGAAAGATGTAGGCTTGGAGCAGAATCACCAAGCATCGCCAGCACCAGGTACAAGGCCAATGGCTCTTGCTTTTTACACACCTTCAAGATGCATGCCTTATTAAGTTGTTCTGGATGCAACAAATGATTCTGTTAGTGTTGTCACTATTAACTTGCCTTCCTGAATTTGACACCAAAAATGTCAATTTATTCTCATTTTGAGAAGCCTCTTACGGTATTGATTATACTTCAGCCCTGTGCTTGATAGGCTTTATATGGCATTAGTAAGCTTCTATAGCAGAAGCTAGTATGCTACATTTAGAAATTTGTTTTCTCATGTATAAATACAATTAATGGATGTTTTCCACAATTTCTAATTATTTGGTAAATCTAACTAGCTTGAAAACCTGGTATTGATTTTTTTAAACTAGGAAATATTTGTAAATGATAACATTTAGTTAGCTTTTGAAAATGCCTTCAATTTACCTTTAATTTTTTAAAAACTACCCTAGGAAATAATTACTGTATGAAATAATTTATTATATTTAAAGATAGTAAATTTAAAACCAGTATATTAATGGAATAGAAAACCCACATTTAATCATATTTAAATAGACTTTTATACCATTTTAAAACATCATTGCTATAAAAATTACTGCCACAAGCTCCAAATGGTGATATCCCGGCTTATCCTATCTTTGGATTTCTTTCGTAGTAATTATATATTCCAGTAAAGCCTACCATAAAACACTCCTGTCACTTGCATTTTAAAGCTTGGTTTGTTTACTCCAAAGTAGGCGTGTCCCCACAGTAACTTGCCTCTCAGTTATTTCTAACAGTGTAATTACTCTGCTTCTCAGTGTCTTCTGTTACCCATGGCCAGAACAATTCTCAGTGGAGAGAATGCTGTCTGTAGTTTATCTTTTCTACCTAATTATTGCTATGAATTTAAAAATAATAGGCTTATAAGTTGTGTTCTCATGAAATTTTCTATCTCTGAACCTCCAATTCTGCATTGGTTAGTCTTAGTAAGTCTTAAAGTATACAAATAAGATCAATTAAACTTTAAGAATACAAATTTCAAATTATGTGATTATTTTTAAATATACAACCAGTTGTTTACAGGAAGAAAAGTTATAAGACAATTGTAAAATTGTAAATAAAAAATTTCTAATTCTCTAATAGTGAAATAATTTGACAAAGAGGTTACAAATTATCAGAAATTAATTTTAATTATATTCAGTATTTTTGAAAGCTGTATGTGTAGCATCAAAAAGAGCAATTCATAAGTTCAATAATACTGTGTTAAATATTTCTAAAAAGTGTGGATCAACATTGTAAAAATATATAATTTTACACTAATAGAAGAATTAGTTGAACATTTACAAAATTCGGTTAGGACTTTTATTCTGTCAATTTAGCTAACTAAACTAATGTAGAAATTCTACTGATAAAGTCCTAGGAATACAAGTCATTACCTAGAAATGGCAAAAGAGAAAGGAAGGTCGCCAGGCATAAGAACTAAGAAAGGAACTTAAGAGCCAGAGCCAGAACCAGAAACATTTTAAGCTATCTCTGCAGGAGGCCTGGGACCGTCAGAGCCCCAAAACTTTAGGGTCTTGGGCAGGGGACCAAGAATGAGGCTTTGTGTGTTTTCCAGGTGACACGTTTGAACGTGTCACCTGGAAGATTGCTGCATGCCACTCAAAGGGTGGTTCCCCGCAAACCCCAGGCTTTGCACCAAATGTGAGTGTGGAACCTAAATGTGACTCCACATTATTCAGGAATACCCAGATGAGAAACCAACATCACTAAAAATGAGTTCACAATCAGATGTTATAAAACTCAAGCTAAAAAAATCTCGACAGTTGAGTGAGAATCAGACAAAAGAGTAAGATTTAAAACTTAAAGAATTTGGTATTACTAGAAAAGTCTTACAGTTGTGCACAAGTGGGGTCAGAGGGCCACTGGCCAGGAGGAATGTGTATTATTTTGGGAATGGATTGTTAACTCTCCCTCCTTATCTCCTTTTGGGAGCAGCTTTGTGTCCTGTGACTGCTTCTTATTGCACATACACACTGAGGTAATGTAGCTCCGGGCCACACATATAGGTTTGTGCAACCTACACCCATGCTACCTTTGTCTGGGACCCCTTATAACAAGCCTCAGACTGGAGGAGGTGCGATCTCTCTCATACAGACCCATCACCATTGATGCTCTCCCCTGTAGTGTGTATAATAAAAAACGTGTCCACATTAGCCAATCCACTGAGTGGTTTTTTTGGAATATCATGAACACTTAAGCAGCTTCCCGTTTTGGGTTTGGAGCTCTTGTGCTACACACAGGAAGACATATATGAGAATGCTCATTATAGCATTATTTGCAAAGGTAAAATCTTAGGACATAATTGTCCATCAGAATGGAAATGGTAAATAAATTGGAAAAGTCAGCTCTAGAGCAGTTAAAATGAGATAACTAGGTCTACATGTATCAATATGGGCATCTTGCAAAACAGACTTCTGGGTGAAAACCACGAGTTGCAAAATAGGAATAGGAGGTTATCATTATAAACATTCTTTAAATACATATAACAATACTGTGTAATATTTAAACAATGTTTGCTATTGTTTGTGAATGTATGCAATTTTAGTAAAAGAAAAATTGTTTTGGAATGACACCATTTTCAGATAGTGGTATTTCTAGGGAGTAAGGGAAGGGGAAGCTATCAGGAATTAGGATTTATTAAAATTGCCATTTAGCCCTGGCTGGCGTAGCTCAGTGGATTGAGCGCGGGCTTCGAACCAAAGCATTGCAGGTTTGATTCCCAGTCAGGGCACATGCCTGGGTTGCAGGCCATGGCCCCCAGCAACCGCACATTGATGTTTCTCTCTCTCTCTCTCTCTCTCTCTCTCTCTCTCTCTCTCTCTCTCTCTCTCTCTCTCTCTCATCCCCCCCTTCCCTCTCTAAAAATAAATAAATAAAATCTTTTTTAAAAAATTGCCATTTGGAGATGACAAAGTAGTAACATCTGTTAAGTGAGGGGGTGATTGATATGTGCATGGTTATTAGATTATTTACTGTACTTTCCTTTAAGTTTTAAAACATTAAGTAATTTTAAGGTTACGTAGTTGAATTACTAAATCCATAGGTTTGCTAGAATGTTGTCAGTAACATGGGTAATACTTAACTCTAAGTGAGTTTGGTGCTTTGTGTCTGAATGGTGCCTGGCATGTCACTGGGGCTCAGTCAGTGAATGTTGGCTGAGTGAATGGGTCCTCCAGAAATGAGAGCTGAGCTGACCAGAGAAACACAAAAAGCATGTATAATGATGTATATGATCTCATGTTATTATCGTATTAAAGTGTGAAGTAGCTCAGTAGTGTCTAGGATGTGTGTCCTTAAAGGACCTAGTGATTTGCGAAGTTGGAAAGGTAAAGCTGGCATTTGGTTGTGGGGAACTGGGAACCAACAATGGTAAGCTTCACCTTACTTAAGTTTACAAAGGAGACTTATCGGAAGTTGCTGTTGCTGTTGTGGTCATAGTTGGTGGCATTCACCCCGAGGTGTAGTGCGTGAATAGGTCAGAATGAAGAGAGGCCAAGCAACAAGAGGGGAACCTGTTATGGAATCTTAAGGGTTATGAATAAGGTGGATTTCTTCTTTCAATGAATGATAATTGATCTACTTTGATTGCCCTCCTCCCATTACAGGTGGATTTCTGTATATTCTCAGTGCTCCCAATTAAGTGTTAAACCTTTCTTACAGCCTTTCCCAAGTTTCTTCAAGAAAGTCATCTGTCGTCATCTAAACTCTTTAACTATTCCTCTGTGTCTATATTAGCTCTCCTATGAGGTGATAAGGCCCACCCCACAGCTCTGGCACAGTACATGGTGCTCAACAGGCAGCCACCCTGCCAAACGTTCATTGACTGGACAGTGACCCTTAATGAAGCCCAGGGTGTTCTGAGTTCAAATAAGGGTGCTTTACCATTTTTGGTAGGGTAATCTACCTGGCATCTTTGGGTTTCTGTCTACTCATTCTTACCTCTGCCTTCTTCATACCTATCTGTGTGCTTTTCAGTGGACCTCAGGGTGACCATTGACATTACTCTATGTGAACAACAGGTTTCACACTGGCAAGGAACCCATTAGAAAGCAGTGTTAGTGAAAGGAGTACAGGTTGTTATTATGACTTGAGAGATCTCCCTTGTGTCTTACAGTTCTCACCAATTTTCATTTTCAGAATCAGAATCCAAAGATACAGAAAAGCAGAAATTAGCTCTTAGTTTGAAGCCCCCCTTGCCTGTTAGCCATTTCTGATTTATTCAAAGGAAATTCAGAGTGGGCTTGTTGCTTATGGTCATGTAGCTTCCTAGTTCATTCTTACATGAAGTGAGTTTAATTAGCAAAATGGGACATTTGAAATTTCATCTTGTTTGATTTAGATCCTGTGTCAGAGTTTGTAAGATGATCAGTAAGACTTCCTTACTTTTTCTAAATCAAAGATGGCATTAATAACTCAAAGGGAAATGAAATTATATTATCATTTACTTTTATAGTTATCTAGAGTTGTCCAGAGCTTGCCATGATTGGCTTCACCCTGTGAATAAGGGGGCAGTGGCATGAAGTCCCATTAACAAATGCCTCTTATGTTGTGCTAAATAATACACTGTGGAGCCCTCTGCCACATGAGTAGCTCCAGAACTGAGCAATCCTGTTTTCACATTTGCACTACCAAAGATGAATTTTTAACCCAAACCATAAGATATTCCCATTTTCTACGTAGAGAAACTGGGCCTCTGCATGTTATTATTTAGGAAATGTCCTAAAAAATGAACTGCACAATTATCATTTGCAGTTCACTTGCAACGTGCCTTGTTGAGAACTTGAAAAAATCTTAATTAAAATGATAGCTTGGTTTTCTATTAATGACTCTGTGGAAGTACTGATTTCTAAATAAGGTAATAAAAACTCCATTTCTGATAAGATTTTGCATTTGTTTTATTTCCTGCAAAACATTAATACCACAAACAATATCAATATGTAATGATCCCTAATCTGGTATTGATT